AAAACATTATAAAAAAAGGGGAAAAAGATAGGAGATAACAAAAGAGGATGTGAAGATAAGGAAACACTTGTACACTGTTGGTGGTATTATAAATTGACAGCTATTATGGAAAACAGTATGGAGGTTCTTCTAAATATTAAAAATAGAACTAACCTGTGGTCCAGCAATTCCACTATTGGATGTATATGTAAAGGAAATGAAATTAGTTATCTTGAAGAGACATCTGCATCCCCATAGTCATTGCAACATTATTCTCAAAAGCCAAGCTATTGAACCCACTTAAGTGTCTGTCCACACATGAATGGATAAAGAAAATGTGATGTGTGTGTGCACACGTGTGTATGTACATACAGGAATATCATTTAGCCACAAAAAGGAAGGAAATCTTGCCATTTGTAATAACATGGATAATTCTTGAGGACATTATGCTAAGGAAAATAAGCCAGACACAGAAAGACAGATACTGCATGATCTCACTTATATGTAGAATCTAAAATAGTTAAATTCATGGAATCACTGAGTAGAAAGATAGTTGCCAGGAGTTTGGAGAAATGGGGAGATGTTAGTCAAATAATACAAAGTTTTGGTTCTTCAAGATAAATAAGTTCTGGGGATCTAATGCATAGTGTGGTGACTATAGTTAACAATGCTGTATTGTATACCTGAAAGTTGCTAAAAGGGTAGATCTTAAGTGTTCTTATCACATACACACACACACACACACACACACATACACACAAAAAAACAGTGACTATACGAGGTGGTAGATATGTCAACTAGCTTGATTAAGGTAATCATTTCACAATATATACATATATCAAAACATCAAGCAGTACACCTTAAATATATACAATTTCTATTTGTCAATTATACCCCAATAAAACTGAAAAGAAAATAAAGTCAACTCTTTCATATAACATTTCCACTGTCTGTCCACCAGACTCCATTCCCACTCACCTTAATCAAGGGCTTTGTTTCTATAAATGTCCCCAACCTCTCTTGAATCCTCACTTATCCCTTATCTACTGGGATAATTAGTATACAGGTATGCTATAAGACCATAATTTAAAACACTTTCTCTGATTTCACATTCGCATTTTACACTCCCATTCTCTATTTCTCCTTTCACTTTTCCATTGCTGCTCTCTTTTACACAAAGCTGATAAAAATTTTGTCTGCACTAACATCTCTACTTCCTTCGCTTCCCTGAAAGCACTCTAGTCAGTCTTTCAATCTCCAACTCCATGGAAACCTCTCTTGTCAACATTGTCTTCACATTGCCAAATCTAACAAGCAAACGTATTCGCCCTCATAGCAGCATTTAACACAGTTAACCAGCCTCCTTGAAGTGTTTTATATTCTCAGCTTCTAAAATATCTATTCCCATTCTGTTCCCATCTCAATGTCCTTCTAACTTCTGGATTTTTCCTGTTAATGTATTCTCAACACAGCAACCAAATCGATTTGGTTAAATCATGGATGAGATTATTTCACTGCTCTATTCACCAAAACTCTAAAGCATGCTATATCACTCAGTTGGCAAACAATGTTATGTTAGTTTCAGGTGTACAACATAGTGATTAGACATTTATATAAATTAAGAAGTGATGACCCTGATAAATCTAGTACCCACCTGTCACCATACACAGTTATTACAATATTGTTGACTATATTCCCTATGCTATACTTTACATCCCCATTACTATTTTGTAACTACCAAAGTGTACTTCTTAACCCCTTCACATTTTCACCCAGACCCCCAAACCACCTCCCATCTGGCAACCCTCGAAATGTTCTCTGTGTCTATGAGTCTGTTTCTGTTTTGTTTATTTATTTTGTTCTTTAGATTCCACAGGTAAGTGAAATCATATGGCATTTTTCTTTCTCTGTCTGACTTATTCCACTCAGTATGATACCCTCTAGGTCCATCTATATTGTTGCAGATGGCAAGATTTCACTTTTTTTAATGGCTGAGAAAAGAGAACTTCTTAAAAATGGCTATACCCTCTCCCCACTTGGTAGTCACTGTCTAACCCATTAACTTGCTTTGTTTTTCTTTACAGTGCTTAATGCCACCTGATACACAACATATTGTTTGTTTGTTTATTGTTTCTCTTCCCCACATGGAATCAAACCCCATGAGACCAGGAACAGTATTTTTTTTCTGTTCACTGTTATGTCACCAGCAGCTAGCATTATTTATTGTGCAATAAATATTATTGAATGACTAAATAAAATTCTTCTTTTGAATGTCTACATTCTTGTGATCAGCATCTGCATATGCTTTCCTAAAACCATTAAACATCTTTATCCACAACTTAAACCAAATCCCTCTCGCAGTAAATTGAGAATTTAGGCAAATAGTTTGGCCATAACCCTCTGTTGAGTGTCTTTCCTCTGTCCTAGCACTAAATTTATTGACTCAGTCTTAAAACTCTCTCCATTTCTCATGAAACGCAGAGTGATTGCACTCCAAAATCAATAAACGTAAGAATACTTAGAGCAGGAAAGAAGAAAAAAGAGATAATGAAAGGAGAAAACAGTATAAAGAACTCATAAACATAACTGTATTTGAGAATCAAAGATCATGCAAAATTTTGGAGGAAAACACCACCTCCCCTTCCTCTGTAGTAGACTCTTTCTTAGACTGGACTGTGCTCTGTCATGTAGAGCAAAGGACAAGCCTTTTGGCCTCAGTTTCTATTTGAGTCCAGATAAAGACAAACAGGATAGGCCCAAGGCAAAACTGTCAAGTGGAAAAACTTGGCTTATGTCTGGAAATCCCCTCGTGTGCTTCCTCCCTGCTTGGAGATATCTTCCCTTCACCTCTACTGCCAGCATCCTCCTACTTCTAAAATCTTCCCTGTATCAAAAAATAAAAAGGAATGTCTTAGAATATTTATACCCAGGTTGTAATTTCACTGTTAAATTTTAAAGATGATGCAGAGTTTGAATTTTCCTGATAACTGACCTGACCTTCCACTAGATAGCAAGGCACAGTATTAGACTTTATCTAGGCCATGAAGCTCATGTCCACCTACTGTCTTCGGGCAGAATTTTCATGTCAATACTCAGTGTCTCTAAGTAAAATTCGCAGACTTATATTTTCCTCCTCTTGGCATTTAGATCTGTGGGACGCCACGGCATTTTTACAGGTTCTGGCTTCAGAGTAACTCATTCATTCTGTTTCTTGAATTGGTGACCGTTGAGTTTCATAGGACCATCTGCCTCTTTCTGGAGGTGACAGGTGGTACCTACTGCTCAGCTCTCTGTCTCAACTTCCTGGTCTACTGCTCTTCTTTGTTCTAAGATTAGTCCTCTGCAGCTTAATAACTCCTCTAAGCAACTCCATTTTCCTCATTCTGGAATATAGGAACTTCTGGAAGCAGAGAAGCAGAAGTGCTGCCTCAGTCTTCTCTCTCTATCCATTTCTTTCCACCATGTCATCTATCTCCTGGGCCATGCCAAGTATGAGAATTCTCCTAGACACTGGCATGCCGGAAAGCATGCCGCTGATATCGTGATGCCAGGCCTCCTACACTGAAAATGTGAGCCCCGACAAGGGGAAGTCAAGGACTCTGGCATCTTCTTTCCTTACTTTCCGCTCTCTTCTCATTCCCACACTCCATGGGCCGGAGTCATTCTCATCCTATCAGACTCTATATATACTCTTAATAATAAATAATTTTTGTGACTGCTTTTGCTATTCTGAAATGAAAATTATAGATAATATAACTCTCCTCACATAACTTCGGAAAATCAATATCATAGTCTAACTGTAATAAAAAGAGAAATAAGCCAAAGTAATTTATTCTTTATGTATTTCAAAATGAAAACAAGTGCTTTGTCATAACTATAAGGAAAGACATCCTGAAATGGTCCGATGGTTAAGTCTATATGCAGAATCACCTGAATGTGACTGTTATAAATTCTCTACTGGAGGCTTAAACTCCACGAGTGTTTTGTTGATGATATTCTGAAATAGTGACCAAACCTCAGTAAACTTACAAGTGAAACAAAATATGATTTTCTTACAGTTTATACTATAATACATTTATGGAAAGTTTAGTGCATAGCAAAAAAAAAAACATATACTTTTTGTTTTTATGTCAGATGAAATTAGGTTCCAGGCTCAGATGATTTTAAACAAGTTTTATATCTGTCCATGGGCTATGATACTACTTTATTTCAGTGAATGAGGCCACTTGTTCTAGCTGTCTAGAATCCCTGGACTCTACTCATTAAATACAAAATGTGGCCTCCAAGCATTGTGTGACGACAATAATAAAAGAGGCCCACAACTTTCCAAAATGATCCCCAAGGGGGGCAATTTTCCACCTCTTCTAAGAATTACTTCTTCGCACCATTTCCTCCTTCTTCACTTCACAAGGCTCATGGCGCAGCTGTCACTGCAGAGGAGATATCCACTCCTCTCTTATAAATGAGAACTACCCATGATTTGCGTTTTCTGGTGTGGCTCTTGATATGGGAGCCTAATGGTTAGAATCGCAATTAACGATTTCTGAGGATAAAAGTACATTCACTTAATATCCCCAAAATATAATCTCTATTACCCATTGAAACTCATTCCTGTTGTTAGATTACCCAGATATTAGCACCTTAAACTGCTTTATTCTAAATTATTAATTTGATATTTTCCAAATAACAGAAGTAATACATGACTCTGGTAATAAGTCAAACAACATTCAGGTGACAACAAAAATTATTTTTTTCGTCTCATTTGATTTCCTGGCCTATATGTAAACACACACACCACTCACATACATACCCCCACACAGTCCC